TGTAATAATCCGGGGCTTGGGTGAATCACTTTTGAAAAGTTTTTAACTTACCCGGACACCGAGCTCTCTCCCTCCTCGCTGATGATTCTGACATGCTTGCGTTTAAAATGCTGCATCATCACTGTAGTACTCCCGTGCCATGCTAAGTCTGACCTACAAATGCTGCAGGTGACGAATGTCTTCGCCTGATTTAACTGAAAATGCTCCCAAACTTTAGAAGTTTTTACTTATTTGGGGTCTCGCTGCTTCTGCCATGTTCCTCTTTCCAAACACCTGCCTGCTCTCCGGTCTGCGCGCAACGGCGGGCGGGAGGGGAGGGGGCTTTTGGAAGAGTTGTGCAACACAACGAATCGATGACGCAATTCGTTGCCAACGCTTTTAGTAATCGATTTTCATCGAATTTATCGATTCGTTGTTGCAGCCCTAGCTGCGAGCTGCGGGGAGGGGAGAAACGGGTGGAAAACATCAGTCTCCCGAGAGCTCCACAAGCCGGCAGCCCGCGCAGCAGACAGAAGCCGCGAAGCCAGGGGAGAAATGGGTGGAAAACATCAGTCTCCCGAGAGCTCCACAAGCCGATAGTGGGAACCCAGCTCCACCAACATGTTATATTTCAACCCATTTTCTAAAGTGCAGCATTATGTTAAATGCGCTGGGTTTTACCCTATTACATTTAAATTTCATGGTTAAACAGTACATGTTAAAATCTAAGCTCAGCTCGGCAGTGACCTAAAATACATAAATATAATTTTACTTACCGAAAACAATGAAGTGGAGCCTCCTTGGATGCTCTATTAGTGCAATTAATGCCACAGCAAGTCATTTTGTCCAACAATTGCACAAAAATATCCAAACAAGAATACACACACACAGAGACTCAAAATCCCGGAACAGTTTCCAGGCCAGACCGAGGCTCTACTGAGGCCTTTCCACGGAGATAGCTCTGTGGTCACGTGGGTCTGATGCTCATTAATTATACAGAATTTTAGGCTTTTAATACACTTAAACAGAAGAGTGAGAAAACATTCACCCCCTCAGAGTTGTCATGAGTGTAAACTAGATCATTTAAACCTAAAACATGTTCTGGTACCAGGCTGTAAACATGTTTATTTCTGCTGTGAAATTGGTATTTTTAACATGGGAGTCAATGGGGATTTGCTCGCTTCTGACACCAGCCCCCAGTGGATGAGGGTGGAACTGCAATTTTTGGTACTTCTGGGTTTGACTCAGTTTTTGAGCCGCATTGTGGGGGCTTGGTTTCTACGCTCTTTCTTTAACTGAAATCTAACAGATAAAAAAGCTGTAGGGTGCTAGGACTCCAGATATTTTGTTGTGGGATTCCAGATGTTCGGTTATGTGATTCCAGATGTTGGGTGCTGGGATTCCAGTTAACTTGAATGAGCTTTTAAATATGTGCAATACTTGAAGTGGGAAAAATAAATTGCTGGTACTCCCCTTCGAAAAATATCAGGGGGATTGAGGCTCTCCATTGCAACATGACTGTATCATCGGGGTCATTTAGATTTACAACTTAGGCACGGATTAAATGAGCCTCTTTCAACAATGGAAGAAGCCTTCTGTAGACACATCTCATTTTTCTTAATGCTAAGTCATCTATGAGGTGATCTGATGCTGCGTAACTCCTGAGCTGAGCTGATGATAGCCAGGCTACTCAGGTGTTCTAGATAAGCCTCAGGATGAGAAGCTTCCCTCAGCAGAAGCAGCTGGAACCAGAAATCCATCATAGAGGCAGATTAGGATTATTATTTTTGGTCTAAATGGGAAATGACACAATGAAACTGATGTAGACATGACTACAGAGACCAGCTCAGTGGCCTAGTGGTAGAGTGTCCGCCCTGAGACTGGGAGATCAGGGTTCGATTCCTGGTCGGGTCATACCAAAGACTTTGAAAAAATGGGACCCAATGCCTCCCTGCTTGACACTCAGCATTAAGGGGTTGGATTGGGGGGTTAAACCACCAAATAGTTCCCGAGCGCGACTGTGTCTGCAGCTCACCGCTCCCCCAGGGGATGGGTCAAATGCGGAGAACAAATTTCGCACACACACACCTGTGTGTGTGACAACTAATGGGACTTTAACTTTAACTTTACAGCTAATGATATGACATCCCCCCCCCGTCACTCAGACCTCAGCACCGACTCAGCCATAGTGTATGACTGGTGTTCCTTTGGGGATGACGAGGACACCTCTGCTTTTGTGGAACTCTCCCCTCTGATGACGAGGACACCTCAGCTGTAGTGGAAAGCCAAGTCAATGACTGCTTTAAATCAGGAGCACAAGGGATGGGTTCCCACTGATGAAATGCAGCCATTCCATCCGGTGCCCCAGTAGAGACGGTTTAGCCTGGGGAAGCCGGTCTTCACCCAACAGAACATCTGCCGGACAACAGGTTTGAAATGCTGCTGCTTCTTACATACAATCATGGTTTGAAGGGCAGAATGGGATCGCCACTTGGATCACCCAGATATGATGCACACACGAGTGGATGGCTGTTGTTGGAGTATATGAATGTGTAGCTTAAGCATTCACTATTATTAAACCGTTTACTTTTGAGGAATTTTACCATTACTAATTTTCTACTTACTGAAAAAACACTTTACTTTGTTCAACTTTTGACTTTTGATGTGAACACAATACTAAAGTGCAGGTTGTTTACTTGAGCCGTTGTCTTAAGCTGTGTTTTATTTAATTGGCTACAGAGTGAAGCACAGTTTATATTTTTGCCCCTTTCGTTACAAAGAGAAAAGTTAAAATGCAGAATAAATACAGGAAGTTACGTACCTGTTTCCTCTACTACTGCACGGGAAACTTTCTATGTACTGCAACAGTTTTAGAAGTAATGTGAGAAGTTATTTCCTCTGGTAACTAGTTAATTTTCTATAGAGTAACTAACTCAGTTACATTTTTACAAGTAGTGAGTAACTATAACCAACTGCTTTTTAAGTAACATTCCCAACACTGTACATAATACAATACACACCACCAGTCTCTTCTGTTGTCTCTGAGTGAATACGAAGTGTTACATAATCCCTGCAATAAAAAGTTCCAATCTTCTGGTTAAAAGTACCCAAAGATCCAAAAGATTGATTTCATATTTACTATGGAATCTCATGTCTTATGGCTCATTAAATAGATGTAAATTAACCCTTTACAACAACAATAATAATAATAATAATAATAATAATAATAATAATAATATAATCCTCATTGTGGATTCAAAACTGTGAATTTTGCCAAAAGGTGAGGGATTTTTATATCTGAAAAGATGAAGCTAATCTACGGGACATGTTTCAGCCTTTATTATTATTATTATATTGCCTTTATAACTAATGAGAACGAAACTCCGCCTCCAACCACCTCTCAGGCTCAGCAGCCTGCTCTCCCAGGCTCTACGTGTCACCAGAACACAACCTGCCGTAACACAATAAAAGCTGTTTTACAGAATGGAAGGCCTGCAGTGTTTACTTTTTACAGTACCAGTTTAGTTTGGGGTTTTTTTATTAGAGATTTTCTGGTTTTTATTAATCGTGCAACAGAAAAATTATCGTTAGATTGTTCGTCTAATTAGTCATTACAATAGTCCACTATTAGATAAAATAATTGCCAGAATAATCATTTAAAAATACCCGTTTACCCCAGCCCTAATGACTCGTGACGTATTAATGGTACAGTCCATTTGTACTGGGAAGGTCCAACTTCTGAGTGGAAAAACCGACTGGAACAGCCAAAGTCGGATCCCCCACTGAAGCTCTTCTCTGATCTGGTAACCTTCTAGATCCTAAAGCAGGTGCACCAGGGCTTTTTGTACCCAGAGTATGACCTCCAAGGCATTTGTTCCTACCGGAGACCACTGCAGATGTACAGGTTAAACAAGTGAACCACTCCTTTAAAGTATAAAAACACAACACAGACTAATAAAGAACAAATGAACCTAAACATCCTTCAGACAACTAGAGGTCCTTTTATTTGGTCCACAGATTAAAGTGAAACAGGAAAGCCACTAACACACACATAATGGCCTCCTGTCGCTTTAGATTTCACTGATTGTCATAGAAAATGCAAATCCTGCCAGCAGGCTGCTGTTCAGCACAAGAACGGTCTCTGGTCACTTGCAAATATCATTATGCAAAGTAAACACACACACCATACAGGCTCAGAGTTTTATGCGGAGAAAAATGATCATTCAATTACAGTTTCTCGACAACAGGACAGCATTGTGCAAGCTGAAGGGAAAGTCATGTAAATGACCAGGAAACTGGTTTGTTTGTATTTGTGTGTCCGGAGCTCGTCTATCAATCGAGTGTTTGTGAATTCTCTTGACCTGCGCAGAAATAAACAAATCGGCTGGAAAAAAGGGATGGCAACGAGCCGTATTTACCTTTATGTTCAGCTGCACGAACAAAAAAATGTCTGTCTGAGCTCAGGACGGTGATGGAGATGCAAATCTGCTGGTTAGCACCAGAAAAGTAGTCAAAGCTGCTGAAATGCATCAAAAGAGCTGTCAGGAAGTTTAACCTGCGCTCCATTTACCGGCATTGTTGGACCTCTTTGGGTCAGGCTTTTATCACAGAGGTAGAAACACACACACACACACACACATCTGCCCAGTCGTGTTGAGTGAGACGAACAATGCTGAGCCGTGATGTGTTGAACGTTATGAGAACAATGAGACAAAAGAAACGTACAGTCATGGTGCTTGAAAGTCACCACATACCTCCCAGCAAAGGCTTCCTGTGACAGGAACACGCCTTGGTCCTGTAGGAGCTTGTGTGTCGCAGAAGTTCACAAACTCCACAGCTTTCTCTGCTCTAGGGACCGCTAGGAGTCCTGTAGAAGTGTGTGTGCACGTGGGTCACAACCCCGGTGTGCTTGTTTTAAACTCATCAGTACAACAAAAGCCTGCACATTAGCAAGGCTGCATCAGAGACAAAGCCCGGTTAGCAGAGCCCAAATGGGTCGGGTAATGGAACAGGGGACTTACCTGGAAGGATGCTAGAGAGATGTGTGAGAGCGTCGGTGAAAATGGTTCACCACAAACACAAGATCTGCACTTCAGCGACCGCCCAGCACGAGGAACCACGAGTGTTCTTCCTCCTGAGTCTGCTTTATCGCTCTCTTTCTTCCTCTATGAAGGCAGCAGGTGGACCGTCTCAATAGGACATCCTGTGTTAAATCAGGAGATGTTTCATGATCAGCAGAGCACCATCTCCATCGCTCTTCCCACCACAAAGACACAAATCCTGACTGTATCACTGTTTCTCACCGTGTGTCTGAAAAAGCATGAAGACACACAAGTAGGGCTGGACGACGGAGAGAAGAAGCACTTAGAAGAAATAATCACATCCATCCATATCAATAAATATAAAAGCAAGAGAGGCTATACCGTAGCCGCTTGATGTCATTAAGTTACGATTAAACGAGTTGGTTGTGTTACCAAGCTCCACTTTGAATGGATTTTCTGTAAACTTTTCCATCGTGTCTCGTGTGCCAGACACGAAGAAACAAAAACACGGCCGTGCTGGTGAACCGCGGTAGCCAGCGTCCTCCACCGCTCGCCGCTGCTACACCTCGCTGTCCGTTTGGTCTCAGAGGGAGAGCTTGGTGATGGAGCAGCCTGGCTCTGTTTTTGATTGGTTCAGTCTAGTTTTGACTGTAGTGTTAAGCTAGCCAATAGGCCATGATGGAAAAAAGGAACTTCTTTATTGACCCATTTTTTTCCACGTTTATCGATCGATACATATAACGGAATTAGTGTCCGTCCCGAACCTCTAGATCCTGTAGTTCAGAGGCTCTGCTCTGTTAGTTTAGGAACCACACGGCCCCCAGGTGGCCAGCAGAGCTGTTGGACCATGCAAAAAGAGCAGAAACAAGCAGCAACATGAGCTTCTCATCAGGAACACGGTGAAGAGTTCACTTGAATGAAGTGGCTTCACGCACTCAGAGCTCCGTAGATCCCAGCATTAGCCCAAAACCTCTGGCCCGGTTTAGATGTGCACTACACCAACAGTCAGGAGCACGGGTAAAATGGTTAGTAAACACGAGGTGATTAAACACATTCTCACCCTCAGCGGCAACAGAACTCAGCATCAGGACCAGTCCCAGTTCTCCAGCAGACAGCAGCAGCATCCAATCAGCATGCTGCTGTTCTACATTTCACACAGCAATCAACTAAGGCTGCTCAGTTATAACAAACACTTTCAACTGAGAAATCCCAGCTAATAAACATGCACACCTATAGAGTTGGGAAACTAACCAGAGTTCACATTTTAAAGCACATGCAGGTCCAAATGAGCCCACCAGGTGGAAGAGTTGAGCAGTTTAGTGGCGATTAGAGCTCATCACGCTAGAACCAGCCTGCACATCGACACGGTCGTGAGCCGAACTAACCGCTACAGGATGGTGAGTCCAGCTTCAGAAGGTCTGGAAGGGTGCGTCCAACATTTAGGCACAAACCAAGGCTGAAGTTCCTTTTCTGAAAATCTGTATTTTCAAATGAATGAATTATGATATTTATGCATGCCTGGAATGTTTTAGACTGACATTTATAGCATTTAACAGCAATGAGTGCAAATTTTGACAAGAAATTGTTTGTTTGAAAGTTGTTAATAAAGATTTCTTTTTAAGTAACACAAACAGCGACCGGCATGCGTTGCGTTTGATGACGCGATGCTCACTGTCCCAACTCGACATTTATATGCACATTTATGTACTACACACTCGAAGCCTTACTGGCGACACCCTCCAAGTGCACTTAAGCAATATCTCACGAGAGGGAGTGCGTCGTTGCTGAATATCAGCACTGGTGTGATTCGGTCGTAGATAATCACACCAGTGCTGATATTCAGCAACAACACACGACCTCGAGTGTGATATTGCTTTTATACAACAGTTCTACCTGCTCATTTTATTTTTAGAACACCAATAAGCAACAACAGATTATGATTTGTTCACTTATTTAATCATTTATCCAACTCCGCCAACACAAATAGTCCCAACACGAAACGGAGACTCAGACAAGGCCGTTGCTAGGCAACACAAACATTTTCTACAATACCAGTTAGAACGACTGTCCCAGTGCTGTTATAGTCCATTATCAGCACTCTTGAAAAGTCTCTTGACCAATCAAATCACTCGGTCGGAATTAACTGTTGTATAATTTGACGTAGGGCGCAGTGTGAGTATTGGGATTGGGCCAAAGTTTGCCAGATCAGAGGAGAACTGAAAGCGACGGGATTTGGAGTCTCATTTCCTGATATCTGGACATCTTGCCTCTGATTGGCTTACAGCAACATGACTTCCACTGACTCTGTTTGCTCTGCAATGCAGAGGTTTCATCTCCACAAATAACACAAGCCTGGAGGAGTTCTGCTGTGTGGTGGAGTTGCTAATGCTAACAGTTAGCTTATACTAGCAGTTTCCTGGATGCTAAAGCAACAGCAGCCTTCCCCGTCGTTAGCTAAGATAGGTGAGTCCATGAATAAGTGACAGTGTGACGTACAGTCAGGTCCATAAATATTGGGGCATTGACACAATGCTAACCCTTTTGGCTCTATACACCACAATGGATTTCCAACGAACAAGATGCGCTTTAACTGCAGACTGTCAGCTTTTATTTGAGGTATTTACATCCAAATCAGGTGATCGGTGTAGGAATTACAACAGTTTGCATATGTGCCTCCCACTTGTTAAGGGACCAAAAGTAACGGGACAGAATAAGAACCATAAATAAAACTTATACATTTCAATACTTGGTTGCCTGAAGTCTGGAACACACAGACATCACCAGACGTTGGGTTTCATCCCTGGTGATGCTCTGCCAGGCCTCTACTGCAACAGTCTTCAGTTCCTGCTTGTTCCTGGGGCGTTTTCCCTTCAGTTGTATCTTCAGCAAGTGAAATGCACGCTCAGTCGGATTCTCAGGTGATTGACTTGGCCATTGCAAAACAGTCCACCTCTTTCCCTTCAGACACTCTTTGGTTGCTTTTGCAGTATGCTTCGGGTCATTGTCCATCTGCACTGTGAAGCGCCGTCCAATGAGTTCTGAGGCGTTTGGCTGAATACGAGCAGATAATATTGCCCGAAACACTTCAGAATTCATCGTGCTGCTTTTGTCAGCAGTCACATCATCAATAAATACAAGAGAACCAGTTCCACATACATGCCCACGCCATGACACTTCCAGCACCATGCTTCACTGATGAGGTGGTATGCTTAGGATCATGAGCAGTTCCTTTCCGTCTCCATACTCTTCTCTTCCCATCACTCTGGTACCAGTAGATCTTGGTCTCATCTGTCTGTAGGATGTAGTTCCAGAACTCTGAAGGCTTTTTTAGATGTTGTTTGGCAAACTCTAATCTGGCCTTCCTGGTGTTGGGGCTCACCAGTGGTTTACATCTTGTGGTGAACCCTCTGTATTCACACTGGTGGAGTCTTCTCTTGATTGTTGACTTTGACACAGACACACCTACCTCCTGGAGAGTGTTCTAGATCTGGCCAACTGTTGTGAAGGGTGTTTTCTTCACCAGGGAAAGGATTCTTCTGTCATCCACCACAGTTGTTTTCCGTGGTCTTCCGGGTCTTTTGGTGTTGCTGAGCTCACCGGTGCGTTCCTTCTTTTTGAGAATGTTCCAAACTGTTGTTTTGGCCACGCCTAATGTTTTTGCCATCTCTCTGATAGGCTTCTTTTGTTTTTTCAGCCTAATGATGGCTTGCTTCACTGATAGTGACAGCTCTTTGGGTCTCATCTTGACAGTTGACAGCAACAGATTCCAAATGCAAATAGCACACTTGAAATGAACTCTGGACCTTTTATCTGCTCATTGTAATTGGGATAATGAGGGAATAACACACACCTGGCCATGGAACAGCTGAGAAGCCAATTGTCCCGTTACTTTTGGTCCCTTAACAAGTGGGAGGCACATATGCAAACTGTTGTAATTCCTACACCGTTCACCTGGTTTTATGTGGACCCCGCCGTTGGATTATTGGAGCCGGTCCGGTTAGTTAGGAAACCTCTGAGCCAATAGAATCGCTAGCTTTTGATTTTTTTAGGCTAGTTTTTTGGGATTTGGCGCCGGATGGATGCAAGCTAAAACAGCCACGACTCAGCTTAGTGTGATGTTGTGAAGATGGATTACACAAAGGGATTGGACTGCTTTCACTATAACATGGATTGTGACCATGAATCAACAAAGGTAAGACTGAATTTACGCTTTTCACGTCATGAAGCGAGCTGTGGTTGGTTAGCTGCTGGCTCTGTGAACTTTGCACGTAGAGTGCATGAATATTGTTGGAAAGAGGAGAGCCTTGGCTTTCATTTAAGCGGCCGATTCTGTGGATAGGATATTGGATTGTCGCTACTGTGTGTTTTTCTCTAAATGCGTGTTTAGTGTCTTTTTACCTCCTTCTGATTTAACAGCTTATTGTTGAATTGGGTGTTGTTGATGGAGAAAACTCGGGTTCTGTTTGGAAGATCAGTTCTTCCCGTTCTGCATGTGTGCGGTTTATACATCGGTGAATATTAAGCATGTTTTTGGAAGGACTCTGTTACTGTGAATTATGCGCGGACCCGTTACTGGATTGAGTCTGAGTTTCAATTTACAACTGATGACGTCCACAGACAACATCCCCCACACTGTTGAAAAGCGTGCAGCGCGCCTGCCTGACTGTAGATCTGTCAGGATCGTATAATCCTAGAGTTTCACCATCAGAAGCTACTGCAGCAGATAGGATGTTATTACCTTATCCTGATCCAGAAGCTGACTGCATTCAGCTACGCCAGCAGAAATAAAACCATTTGCTTAACCAATTAGCAGAAACAAATAAAAGGAAAAGTGTCACGCACCTGGAGAAAAGAGTCGGTACCAAACAGAATAATGTCTCCAACACAGTGGCAGTGAGGCCCCATGGTGTCAGAGATGTGACATGTGTGTACAACAGTCAGCATGCGTGTCTTCACGGGACCAGCTGAGTGTTTTGACATCGGCAACTCTTGTGATTCCTCCAATAAAGACAATGAAGCCAGAGGGTCTTCTTTAAAGAGATCACATGGCTTCACTGAACCCTGCATTGTTCTGCATGATTGGCTAGGCCTCACACAGCGCTAACACACACACACACACACACACACACACACACACACACACACACACACACACACACACACACACACACACACACACACACACACACCATTATTCTCTTTTGTGGAGTTTCTCTGTGGACTCCTGGTTCAATACGATTCAGAGAACAATGTGCAGAGGATACAGGGGGTCGGAGGTTGGACCTTTGTCTGCTCTGATGCCCTTACGGAGACATTCTATGTATAGACAACACACACACACACACACACACACACACACACACACACACACACACACACACACACACACACACACACACACACAAAGAAAGCTTATTCACCTCTTACTGCACCAAAGTCAAAGGTCTGCAGCCAGTATAAAAGCCACTCTATAAATAGTGAACGGTGTCTGTGGGGCTGCACAGCTCTGATGATTATTAAATGCATTATTTTTAAATGGTGCCACTCAGAATAAAATCCACAAGGTGCTTCACAAGAACAAAAACCTAAATAGAAATAAAGAAAAACAAGATGTTTCAAATATTATCATAAAATGGGAAACGTAAAAATAGTCATTTAAAAAAATGTGAGGAAAGGAAAAAAGAAAATGAAGAAAAAGTTAATCAGTGGATCTCAGGGAACCGGTAGAAGAGCTGAATGAGGAGAAGGAAGTGATGAAGAATCAATCAAAGGTCACACCTAAGCAGGTGAGTTTTCAGCTGCTCTTAAAGGAGACCACTGAGTCCGCTGGTTCTCCGTGTATGAACTTAGAGAGCTAATTACAGGCTTCATTTTATTTTTTAATTCATAGACATACTTATTGTGGGAACATTATTTTGCAATACACAGCGGCCCCTTATTTCAAGGAAAACGTGGCCTTTTCCAGCAAAAGTGTTTGTTTTAATGATCTTCAGCTCTGCTGGAACGATGGGGCGTTATAAGTTAGTCCTGCCTGAAGCTTGGTGAGCGGAGGAGGTCGTTTTGGGGTACTGGTCGTGTCATCGAGTCAGTAGGTGTGGCTTCTGCCCATTTGGGTACTGGTCGTGTCATCGAGTCAGTAGGTGTGGCTTCTGCCCATTTGGGTACTGGTCGTGTCATCGAGTCAGTAGGTGTGGCTTCTGCCCATTTGGGTACTGGTCGTGTCATCGAGTCAGTAGGTGTGGCTTCTGCCCATTTGGGTACTGGTCGTGTCATCGAGTCAGTAGGTGTGGCTTCTGCCCATTTGGGTACTGGTCGTGTCAACGAGTCAGTAGGTGTGGCTTCTGCCCATCTGGGTACTGGTCGTGTCATCGAGTCAGTAGGTGTGGCTTCTGCCCATCTGGGTACTGGTCGTGTCATCGAGTCAGTAGGTGTGGCTTCTGCCCATCTGGGTACTGGTCGTGTCATCGAGTCAGTAGGTGTGGCTTCTGCCCATTTGGGTACTGGTCGTGTCATCGAGTCAGTAGGTGTGGCTTCTGCCCATTTGGGTACTGGTCGTGTCATCGAGTCAGTAGGTGTGGCTTCTGCCCATTTGGGTACTGGTCGTGTCATCGAGTCAGTAGGTGTGGCTTCTGCCCATTTGGGTACTGGTCGTGTCATCGAGTCAGTAGGTGTGGCTTCTGCCCATTTGGGTACTGGTCGTGTCATCGAGTCAGTAGGTGTGGCTTCTGCCCATTTGGGTACTGGTCGTGTCATCGAGTCAGTAGGTGTGGCTTCTGCCCATTTGGTTACTGGTCGTGTCATCGAGTCAGTAGGTGTGGCTTCTGCCCATATGGGTACTGGTCGTGTCATCGAGTCAGTAGGTGTGGCTTCTGCCCATCTGGGTACTGGTCGTGTCATCGAGTCAGTAGGTGTGGCTTCTGCCCATCTGGGTACTGGTCGTGTCATCGAGTCAGTAGGTGTGGCTTCTGCCCATCTGGGTACTGGTCGTGTCATCGAGTCAGTAGGTGTGGCTTCTGCCCATTTGGGTACTGGTCGTGTCATCGAGTCAGTAGGTGTGGCTTCTGCCCATTTGGGTACTGGTCGTGTCATCGAGTCAGTAGGTGTGGCTTCTGCCCATTTGGGTACTGGTCGTGTCAACGAGTCAGTAGGTGTGGCTTCTGCCCATCTGGGTACTGGTCGTGTCATCGAGTCAGTAGGTGTGGCTTCTGCCCATCTGGGTACTGGTCGTGTCATCGAGTCAGTAGGTGTGGCTTCTGCCCATTTGGGTACTGGTCGTGTCATCGAGTCAGTAGGTGTGGCTTCTGCCCATCTGGGTACTGGTCGTGTCATCGAGTCAGTAGGTGTGGCTTCTGCCCATCTGGGTACTGGTCGTGTCATCGAGTCAGTAGGTGTGGCTTCTGCCCATTTGGGTACTGGTCGTGTCATCGAGTCAGTAGGTGTGGCTTCTGCCCATTTGGGTACTGGTCGTGTCATCGAGTCAGTAGGTGTGGCTTCTGCCCATTTGGGTACTGGTCGTGTCATCGAGTCAGTAGGTGTGGCTTCTGCCCATTTGGGTACTGGTCGTGTCATCGAGTCAGTAGGTGTGGCTTCTGCCCATTTGGGTACTGGTCGTGTCATCGAGTCAGTAGGTGTGGCTTCTGCCCATTTGGGTACTGGTCGTGTCATCGAGTCAGTAGGTGTGGCTTCTGCCCATTTGGGTACTGGTCGTGTCATCGAGTCAGTAGGTGTGGCTTCTGCCCATTTGGGTACTGGTCGTGTCATCGAGTCAGTAGGTGTGGCTTCTGCCCATTTGGGTACTGGTCGTGTCATCGAGTCAGAAGGTGTGGCTTCTGCCCATTTGGGTACTGGTCGTGTCATCGAGTCAGAAGGTGTGGCTTCTGCCCATTTGGGTACTGGTCGTGTCATCGAGTCAGTAGGTGTGGCTTCTGCCCATTTGGGTACTGGACGTGTCATCGAGTCAGTAGGTGTGGCTTCTGCCCATTTGGGTACTGGTCGTGTCATCGAGTCAGTAGGTGTGGCTTCTGCCCATTTGGGTACTGGACGTGTCATCGAGTCAGTAGGTGTGGCTTCTGCCCATTTGGGTACTGGTCGTGTCATCGAGTCAGTAGGTGTGGCTTCTGCCCATTTGGGTACTGGTCGTGTCATCGAGTCAGTAGGTGTGGCTTCTGCCCATTTGGGTACTGGTCGTGTCATCGAGTCAGTAGGTGTGGCTTCTGCCCATTTGGGTACTGGTCGTGTCATCGAGTCAGTAGGTGTGGCTTCTGCCCATTTGGGTACTGGTCGTGTCATCGAGTCAGTAGGTGTGGCTTCTGCCCATTTGGGTACTGGTCGTGTCATCGAGTCAGTAGGTGTGGCTTCTGCCCATTTGGGTACTGGTCGTGTCATCGAGTCAGTAGGTGTGGCTTCTGCCCATTTGGGTACTGGACGTGTCATCGAGTCAGTAGGTGTGGCTTCTGCCCATTTGGGTACTGGTCGTGTCATCGAGTCAGTAGGTGTGGCTTCTGCCCATTTGGGTACTGGTCGTGTCATCGAGTCAGTAGGTGTGGCTTCTGCCCATTTGGGTACTGGTCGTGTCATCGAGTCAGTAGGTGTGGCTTCTGCCCATTTGGGTACTGGTCGTGTCATCGAGTCAGTAGGTGTGGCTTCTGCCCATATCACTTCTGGTTTGGCAGAAAAACTTTTTTCTCACAAAAACTCCCGCAGCCTAAATCATTGATGTACATTTTTACTTAAATGAGTTCCTGTTATGTTTCTCCAAACTTTGGTTCAAGGGAGGCTCTAACCTGTAATCTGCTCTGGGGATTGCTAACACGGGAATAAGAAAAAACTTTCTGAGTATGGATTTTAAAACTGCTTCCGGCCCAGGACGGGACACTTGACAGGTGTGATCCTGAAATTGTGGATGAGCTGTCAGTGGCGGCTTTCCCATAACTCCACCTCTCCTTGGGATTGCTCATTACCACCAGGCTTTGTGTATTTTAACTTATATGAGCTGTTGTCTTACCTTAAAACAAACATAGACATTCATGTTTGCAGTTGTTCCACTGAGCTTTATCCACTGTGTAACGTACCAGGGGTCAAATTTTCACCATCAAATTCACCAGAAAGTAATCTTTCACTTGCAGACACAAACACACCTTCTGTCTGGCCTCCAGGAAAGAAAAACAAGTGTACCACGTGCAACTAGCCACATCTGTGCTCAAGGCCTCACGCGAGACTCCTGCATCTTCACTCAGAATGAAGCCACCCATCTCACAGTTCCTGCGGGACTTTACAGCTTAGAAGTTGAAATAATCAAATGAGTTGAATGAACGAGATGTTAACTCAAATGTTTGAATAATCTGTGCTTTAACCAATGATGATAATTATTAATGATAACCCCCACCTCACATAAGTGTTTAAAACATTCTCAGTCACACAAAGAGTTAACCACCTTGGTATCTGAAGGAAGTGACTTGTGAGGTTTTTGGTAAGGCCCTCAAACATGTCAAATTCTGATTTGCCATATTTGAAAACACTGGGTTTTAACAAAACAGGAATTACTTCCCAATTCATTCAGTTTCTCGCTGACTCTCGATATGGCCAAGTCGGCGGGAGAAGCATTTTGAAACCATCTTCTCCTTTGACATCCACCCTCTCTGCAACTCTGCGGGTGATATCAGACAAAATGGCTCTCCTATGAGCCAACGAACAGCCTTAGATGCAAACAAGCATTCCTGCTTCCTGCCGTCACCTGCAGAGATCTCAGACTACACGGGTCCTATCGGAGCTAATCTACGGGTTCCTGGTACCGAGAGGTTCACTCCACCGGCAGAGTCCATCACGACCTCTTGACCCCCTGGATCACACAAGAATCTCCACACAAAGGGTGCGTAGACTCAACAGATTGAGTCGGATGGTTTTATAAACAAATCTCTAGTTTACCAAACATACCGCCAACCTTATTTTACAACCCGGACTCCACAAGCTCTCTCAGATACAGAGAGAGGTTCTGCTAAAACATCTAGCTTCCATTCTAGCATTCCACACATCACATTAAGTCACGCCATATCCATTACATTACATCATCATTCATACCTTGTCTTGTATAATGGTTATTTTAGGGAAAATAAATAAATTCATTTCTATAAACTAAACTTGACTCTGAGTTAATACGAAGTGTGTTTATGGTCCCTGAATAAGTAAAATAAACTAAAATCTTCTGATTAAACACTCAAAGATCCATCAGGTTGATATTTCATATTTATATGGAATTATCACGTCTTATTCATCATTTATTACACATGTAGACACTCCTTAAGGCATTCATCCATCATGGTGTCAACTACGAGGTGACACCTTTCTTACTTTTCCAAACTG